TTTTTTTCCGAAGAAGGGTCCAGACTCGAAACGTCAGCTTTCCTGCTCCTCTGATGCTGCCCGGCCTGCTGTGTTCCTTCAGCTCCACATTTTAGCAGAGCTCAGTATTTATACTTCAAGATGTAAATATCACATTATCATTCTTAAACTTGAAGTTTAATTTAAATACAATTCAAAAATCTAATCCTTAAAAAAATTATTAAAGGAAGAGTGGGCAGAACATAGAATCACTGACCATTATATAATGGGCTGTGAAAATAGCAAAAGAACATTTCAAATACATCAAGACACTAACAGGCATTTTGTTCAATTGAATATAGCGTACATGAACCTCACATTGTAAAGAACCAAATATGAGGCCCAAGCAATGCAGCATTTAAATTTTATTAATTTTGTACTGAGCAGTTCTATTATAACATGTTAACTCATATTTTCATGAACACATAAATCAACATGCTAGTCATTTTATGCAGAATCAATTATCAGCATCCCCATAGTGTGAAGAGAATCAATTATAAAAATCTGTGATTATGACTGCACAGAATAATTTGTCTGTTAATGATTTTATTTCCAGACCAAAGACTTTTCAATGTGATATTTAGTAAATTTTCTTCACATATAAAGGTTGCAGGACTTATCAGCAGAAATTATTTCAGTGAATTATTTCTACTCTACACACTTTTATAAATATACTCTCTTACTTTACGTTTCATTTAAAAGTAGAACAAATCTATAACATAACCAGAAATATTTTTAGTGGGCATTTTGTTGGCAGCTGAATTATTTGTGGCTTTTGTGCAAGTCAGATTATAAATGCAGCATAATAAAAAGAAAATTAGCATAATATGTTGAATACGTATGCAGTGTAAAAAATGCTGAGTTTCTTATTAGATTCATTTAAATGTCATACTAATACACCAAGAGTATCTTGATTTTAAAAAAAAACTGAATTAAGAGTTTTAACTCAGGAGTACTGACATCTGATTACTAATATTAGGTTACCTTGGTAAACAACATTTTAGCCGTTTTCCAACTTCGATCTTTTGGAATTTTCCCATTAGGAGCTAAAAGCACCTGAACAGCAGCAGTAACATTGGTAACAATAGCAGGTGGATTTGGAAAAGTTCGCAATTCTGTCAAGTTTGACTATAAATACAAAAAGAAAACAAAATGTTCTGTAATTTTTGAGAAAAACTGCTAATAATGCTTCCAGAAAATATTGTAGTCTGGTCTTCATACCCTGTTTAGTGTGTTCAAGGCAGCATTTGCAGCACAAAGTGCAGGCTCAGCTTTTGCAAGGTCATCTTCAGATTGTTGCTGTTGCTTAGACACTTCTGCTCGGATGGCAGTCACCTGCAACAATACTTGAGGGTTTATTTTTACTTGGCTTATATTAACTTCTTTAAAGTTAAAGTTTGTAGTAGTAACAAGTTATTTGGCCAATTTTCTCTTTATCATACCATAGTTTTTATTTCTTTAAAAAAAAAGTCAGTCTTTCATTTGGGTTTTACTTTTCCGATTTGAATACATTACTATAACATTGAATTTTTAATCATCTATTTTGAGAAATACAAGTCTTCAAGATATGATGTTAAATATTAGACCAACAGAAAAGAAGTGGATAAAGCAGCATCCAATTGTATGTGATTTATGGAAGTGTCCTTATACAATGATTTCATAAATACTGACCAATTAGTATAATCTTATGCATTTTACACTTGTATTTTACCATCTGACAAAAACACAAGCATGTTCTTTTTGGTTTAAAAGAAATCTGGCTGAACACAAGCATTCTCTGTGAAAACTAAATCTAGATGTATGCAATTTTATAAACTATATTGAAAACCTCAGCAACTAGCTTTTTAAAACGCATATTCTTGCATGTGTCTTATCTGGACAAACTGTCGTCACTCATGCATATACCCTTTGCTCTTCAGCATCAGCAATAGCTTTCTCTTGATTCAGCTTTTCAGTCTGCTGCCCTACTTTGGTGATCAGTGCCTCAGCGTCTTTGTTCCTTTGGTGAAGTTCCATTTCTTGAATAGCTAGTTTTGCCTTCAGAAAGTCCACCTAGATAATTAAAACCAAGACATGCACTGTTTAAAGTATTAAAAAAAAGACTATGGTAACTGAGCTTTTAATTTTATTATATAATAAGACAATCCATTATCTTTAGGGTCAGGAAGTTAAAGGTAGTTGGTATTTGGGGAACTGTAAAGAATTCCTTTGTGCCTTGGTTAAAACAGTTTAATTATTTTCAGTCCTCTTTGGCTACATTCAAAGTTATATATTTCTCCAAAAACCCAATAGAGACTTATACACATGAGAAAAATGGCCAAGATATGCAGTAACGGATGTTACTTTTGGTTTGGTTATATAAATCGTAGTGTTAAAATTACTTAATCCTTGCTAAATTCTGTAAATACAAAATATACCTTTTCTTATCCATTCAGCTATGTAATTATGTCAACGACAATTTTGGTTCCAATACTTACTTGTGAAGCTGTAGTTTGTAGTTTTTGAAGACCATTCTCCAGTCGCTCCTTCTTTTGCGTTAGTTCTTTTCCTTTCTTACTCAGCAGGTTTTGATACAATTTAATTTGTTCTAGGAAACTTTTTGGAGTGGTATAGTTGTAATGTTTTTCATTCTGCTGATATTTCACACTAACATCATTCACACATATGTGTGCGTAAGCAATAAACTGAGCAATAGAAGATTTCACTTCAGTCTAGAATAAAAAAAAGTAGTGAGAAAACAACTATTATAAGCTATAAAAAAATGCATCCATAGACTACACAAAGGAAATATAAGTTTACTAGTCATTTCTCAGTACACTGCATAAATTAGTTAAATTAGATCAGTGTAAATGTTAACTGTATAAATTAATATATTTAAAAATAGTTACATAGTGAGTAGACATGTTTGAAGTAAAATAAAATGTGAACATATATGCATTAATAAATACACAAGTTTAGTCATTACTATATCACATATTTTGATCAGGATCATATGAAATGATTTGACATGCATTTACATTTATTTAATCCTTAATTCTGAATGCAAAAGAAAGATATTACTGTTATGATAGGTGTCTTGTGATCTAATGATGTAGTAGCAAACATCTTGCCTGTAGTATCAAAACACTACAAACTAATAACTCACTTTAAAAGGTTTAGGGTTTCAGAGATGGAATCTATGAAGCAAATCAAAACTATAGAACTTTATTTTGGCCCATACACTATCACAAAACAACATGAAAATTACACTAACTGGCTAGAGTAGATTATAAATAATAGCAAAAATATAAATTATTCATCTATTTGAAGAAAAATTATATGACATAGTTTACTGGATATCGACATTCTTCATTCCAATACTAAAAACACATAATACTTCTAGAATAATAAGCTGCATTTCAAAGATCTCATTCGAAGAATCAAACAAATTCTTTGACATGTCATGCTGTTTATACAAATACTTTTTGCCCTATTTCTACTTTGCATGGAAAATATATTTTCACAGTTGTCAGAATGATGGACAGGAAAAGAATGATCAGACTGTGGCTATGTGCATGTACCTATACACAATGGCTCAGCAGGAGTCATGGTGTGTTGGTGAAACTAACTGTGCCCCGTTTTTGAACATATTAAGTTTGTCTCCAGGACACACATGGCTTCACTAGGGTGCCTAACCTCATTCATAATAGATGCTAATCTTTTCAGGGCTGACTGATGACAGCACTTCCTGCCCTTCACGGAATTAGAGCTGGGTTTTATCAAAGGACTAGAACTGCTTGCTAATTAGAGTAATTTCCTTCATCATGAATTATTTATTTCCATTGGTAACTGATCATTGCGTCATTAATGGGATATTCTAAACTCAGTTTTCACACTAATGCACACTGTATCATAAGTGTTTAAAAAACTCTTTAAAACATGCCTTCAGGTCCAATACGTTCTGGGACAATATACTCCCATTTTAGATAAATTAACTGTCACTCTTCTTAACTTATTAAAAAATATGGGGTCAATTTAAGCCTGACAAGCAATAAATTTATATTACCGTATTGGAATGCAAATAAAGTTAACAAACACGCAACTTCACTGAATAAAACTGGTTTTTGAATTTCTTCGGAATGTTAATATAACATTTAATAAAATTGCATAAAACTGCATGGTGCATAATTGATACATAAAAACAAAAAAAGATTTTTGGGGTCTGTAAATGCATGAATATGTAATTAAAAGAAAATTTGGAAGTTCAAGGCTTTGAACTATGCATTTAAAACAAGTAACATACTCTGAAAAGGATTTTCAGAGGTTGCACTTTGAAATTCCATGTGTAAAACAATTGCTCTTCCAGTTAGATACTAAGATTTGTAGGATTACAGTTACTCGCATTTATAAGAAATGAAGCTATATCAAAAATTAAACACAGGCAAAAAAACATCCAGAGATGCCATCTTTGTATGAGAATTTTGTTTTGGATACAAGAGCTGCATTTACAGTGGAATTAATAACTGCAATATTTCAGTATAAGGTTCTATAATATGCAGTAGACTAACTTGCTAATTTTTCTACTTTATCAGGAAAGATCATGAAGTGGTTATTATAGCATTACTATAAAAATCCTTTTCACTAGTGAAATTGTTGGTTGATTGGAGTTGTTTTTATAAATGCTTTTAAGTGGACGGTATTCTTTTGAAAAATATGTAAAACCATTTGAAAATAAAATATGATTGTCTATTTAAGTACTGGTAAATGCATCATTGGAAGTTTGTACCCAAAAATTTCTAATGACATCAATTCATGACAATTTATTACAGCAATGAAATGTTCTACATGTTTGCCATCGGGAATGAAATATCAGTTTATCTATCATTTATTGGGTCTACATGGTTTGTTAGGGGGAAAATCAATTTTTAATTTCATGATTAAATAATTCTGTAGACGACAGGCAGCAAACACTACGTTGCTTGACATAAGGCACAAACTATATGAATTTTACCTCCAGTCCATCAATTTTTTCAATACAACTGTGGCTTACAGATTCCAGTGCTGTTTGAGGCCATGGATGAAACCAATCAATGGCTGTGCAGTTCACTACAGCTGGAAACTTCCTTGCTCTCATCCGAAGAACAAAGCCCACAGGAGAAAAGCACAGAACAACCTGAAAAATACATGTTTACTATCAAAATTATGTGCAAGAGAAACTTGCTTTAATGTTTTTTTGAGCTGTAGTCCCAGGCATTCAATTGGTTAGAAGAAGAGTTTCTTCCATGGTAGAGGCTTGGGTGAAATATGCAGAGAAGAGAGACATCGATGTTAATATTAATGAAACAGGAATAAAAACGGTATTCCTTGCAACTGCCATATTAATAGGCCAGCTCTACAGGTATAAACTACAGGAAAAATGAACTGCTTTTGCAGTACGTTGCTCCATTGTCCATAACTTTGGGAAAGAACTGTAGGAATTCTAAGAAAAAAAAGTATTTATTTAGTTTCTTCTGGGGTTGTGGGGCTTTTGCAATAAAGTTACAACAGACGAATGGATGATCCCCTGTGGAAACTGCCACCATTCATAATGGAAAATAGGCTGATGGTAAGCTTAATATAAAGATGCCCTTAGGATTTTTAAGTTGTCTTGAATTCAATTCCAGTTCTGTAATAAAGCAGTCATTGAGACAGCAAACATTGCAGAGAGAAATGTAATGGGAAACATCTGGGTTTTAAATTTTCAAAGATGCCAAATTGTTCTCCTCCTCAAAACACTACATTAAGTAGTTGAAAAAGCTGAGGGAAATTGCAATATTGTTTGTGTTGTGGATGCGAATATTGATTTGTTTGTTTTGGGATTCTATGCATCGACAAATACAATGTTAGATTCAAAATTATATTGTAAAATCAGTTAATCATAGATTACTCATTTAAGTTAGCTGCGAAATTCAATTCCGTTACCATCCATAGCTCAGTACCATCTCGGTCCAAAATGGCATCTATGCTGCATAATCACATTTCTGGTACTAAAACAAAAACAGAGTGCTGGAGAAACACAACAATTCCAGCAGCATTTGTTGAGAAAAAGTGTTAACATTTTGAGTCTAGTTACCAGTTGTCAGAACTGTTCTTATGACCGGTCAGTGGACCTCTGTTTTGCTCTCAACAGATTCTGCCAGACCCATTGTGTTCCTCGAGTGCTGTTTCCATTTCAAATCCCAGCATCCATAAGTTCTTTGTCTTTACTGGTACTGGCCTTGCTGGAGGTTATTTTGGTTACAGTATTAGTATGGGTGATGGCAGCATGCATTGGCAGTAAGCAGAGGAGTCAGATCATAACATCAGATGCTGATTTGATTACAGCAGTCAGTATCATTTTTAACCTGAATGCTCCATTCATTCTTAAAATTTCAGGTTAGTTTTTCATTGTTTTCTACTAGCTATTGCTGAGTTAGTAGAAATGTCTGCAGGTTTGTTCAGCACCTTGAAATTGGTGAGGGGAATGGTTGGCACCTGGTTGAAGGCTTTGGTTCTGACTTTAAGAGTTCTGCTTATATCAACCATGGTTGCTGTAGTTTCTATTTCACTTGGCCTGCAGGAGAAGGTACATCAGTCTTATGCCACAGTGAGATCATGCTTTATTTCAAAAATGATTCTTGAGTGTACTTGCCAGAGAAAACAATTGATTCTTTTAAAATAAATAGCTGAAGCCACATTCCAATCTCTTGAAATCACAGTTTCAGAAATAGCTAAACATTAGCATCAGTGTACATTCTACATTCTTAAGTCACCTTAAAACATGTCTGTAGCATGTCACTGGGAACAATTAACTTGAAGGAAGGTGAAAGGTGACCATCTCCTACCAAAACATTATCAAAGCATCTCGACCAATGCCTGAATTCACAAGTGGTGGGCAACAAGTCTTTATAGAAACACTTGGATAGTGGGGCTCTGGTATTAAACAGGTGTGCCCAGATGTATTCTAATCTTGTTAGCCAGACTTCGGAAATCTATTAGCCATGAGCATATTTGAGTCACTGGGCATTTGGAGGGAGAAAATTACGTGATAAGCCAGTCTTCTTGTGTTTAACTATTTTGGCTGCAGGTTGCATGCATAAGCAGTGCTGAAGAAGCAATACCTGCATGAGTTCCCTCTTTCTCTCTCTCCATTCAACTTGCAAGTTTTGAAACAAGTTTGCTGATGACTGTCCATGTGCTGCAGACAGATATTAAAGAACTCAACCTAGTGGCTGCTGCCTCCAGAAATAAAAAGAAATCAACCATCAAGATTATTACCATCTAAACTACAAACTCAGGAGGAACATACCAATCAGCCGGAAATAAACGTATCACCAATCTTCAAGACCAAATAACCAGACAGAGGATTTTTAAAATTATTCATTCATGGGTGTTGGCATTACTGACAACTTTTGCCCATCCCTAACTGTGTAGAGTTATACAGCATGGAAACAAACCTTTTGGTTCAACCTGCTGACCAGAAATCCCAACCTGATCTAGTCCTATTTGCCAGCATTTGGCCCATATCCCTCTAAACCTTTCCTAATTCATATACCCATCCAGATGTCTTTTAAATGCTCAAATTCTACCAGCCTCAACCACTTCCTCTGGCAGTTCATTCCACACATGCACCCGCGTTTTCCCTCTCACCATAAACCTATTCCCTCTAGCTTTGGATGCCCCCAACCTAGGAATAAGACCTTGGCTATTTACCCTACCCATGACCCTCATGATTTTATAAATCTCTGCAAGGTCAGCCCTCAGCTTCTGACACTCTAGGGGAAGAAAAACCTGCCTATTCAGCCTCTCCCTATAAATCAAGCCCTCCAATCCCAGCAACATCCTTGTAAATCTTTTCTGAACCCTTTCAAGTTTAACAACATCCTTCCTATAGCAGGGAGACCAGAACTGTATGCAGCATTCCAAAAGTGGCCTCACCAATGTCTTACACAGCCACAACATGACGTCCCAACTCCTGTACTGACTAATGAAGGCAAGCGTGCCAAATGACTTCTTCACTACCCTGTCCACCTGCAACTCCACTTTCAAGGAACTATGCACCTACACTGCTAGGTCTCTTTGTTCAGCAACACTTCCCAGAGCCCTACCATTAAGCATGTAAGTCCCATCCTCGTTTGCCTTACCAAAATGCAGCACCTCACATTTATCTAAATTAAACTCCATCTGCCACTCCTTGACCCATTGGCCCATCTAATCAAGGTCCTGTTGTACTCTGAGACAATGTTCTTCACTATCAACTACACCACCTATTTCGGTATCATCTATAAACCTACTCACCATGCCTCCTATATTCACATCAGAATCATTTATAAATGATGAAAAGCAGTGGACCCAGCAGTAATCCTTGTGGCACACTGCTGGTCACAGGCCTCCAGCCCAAAAAGTGAACCTCTATCACCACCCTTTGTCTCCAACCCTCAAGCCAATTTTGTATCCAATTGGCTAGCTTCCCCAGGATCCCATGTGATGTAACCTTACTAACCAGTCTACCGTGCAGAACCTTGCCAAACACTTTGCTGAAGTCCATATAGACAAGGTCTACCACTCTGCCTTCATCAATCCTCTTTGTCAAAAAGCTTCAAAAAACTCAATCAAGTTAGTGAAACATGATTTTCCATGCACAAAGCCATGTTAATTAACCCTAATCAGTCCTTGTCTTTTCAAATACTTGTAAATCCTGTCCCTCAAAACCCACATCCAACAACTTACCCACCACTAATGTAAGGTTCACCAGTCTATAGCGCCCTGGCTTTTCCTTACAGCCTTTCTTAAATAATGGCGTCACATTAGCCAACCTCCAGTGTTCTGGCACCTCACTCATATATGTCAATGATACAAATATCTCAGCAAGGGACCCAGCAATCCTTTCCCTAGCTTCCCACAAAGTTCTGGGAAACACCTGATCAGGTCCTGTGGATTTATATACCTTTATGTGTTCTGAGACCTCCAGCACCTCCTGTTCTGTAATATGGACTCTTTTCAAGACATCACTATTTATTTTCCAAAATATCCTAGCTTCCATGTCTTTCCATGTCACAGTAAATGGTGGCATGAAACATTCATTTAGTTTCTCACCCATTTCCCGTGGTTCCATACGTAAGCATCCACATTGATCTCTCCTTAGTTACTCTTTTGCCCTTAGTGTACTGATAGAATCCCTTTGGATTCTCCTTACCTCTCTTAGCCAAAGATATCTCATGTCCCCTTTTTGCCCTCTTGATTTCCCTCTTAAGTGTACTCCTACTGTCCTTATAGGGATTCACTTGATCACAGCTGTCCAAATCTGACATATGCCTCCTTCCTTATTTTGACCACAGACTTAATTTCTCTCATCATCCAGCATTCCCTACATCTACCAGTCTTGCACACTTACAGGAACATACTGTCTCTGAAAGTTGCCACATTGCTGTGGGTCTGGTGTCACATGTAGGCCAGACCAGGTGAGGACAGCAGTTTCCTTCCCTGAAAGACACTAGTGAACCAAATGGGCTTTTCTGACAATCGACAGCAGTTTCATGGTCATCATTATAGTATTAATTCCAGATTTTTATTGAATTCAAATCCCACCTTCTGCCATGATGGAATTCGAACCCGAGTCCCCACAGCATTACCTGAGTTCCTGGATTAATAGTCTAGTGATAATACCACTAGGCCATAGTCTCCCACTCTGTAATCTATTTGTGAGTGTGAGAAAGCTGGATACTTTTATTACTTTACATAAACCATGTTAAGTACTATAAGCAGCATGCTCTTTCTTTTTGAAACTCTAATATATTGCTTTAATTCAAATTTTTTTGTGGTCAAACAAGCAGTGATAAAGTGTTCATCAATGCCAATGCATCAATAAAAATTTGGAAAGCATTATGATATCATGTAAGACCATGCGTGGGAAACTTCAATTTTGGTGACATAGTTTATTACAGGAGCCATGAAGTGGAGATACGGGTGTTGAACTGGAGTGGAAAAAGTCAAAAGTCATACAACAACAACTTATAGTCCAACAAGTTTATTTCAAATCACCTGACGAAGGAGCACACTCTGAAAGCTTGCGATTTTAAATAAACCTGTTGGACTATAACCTGGTGTCGTGTGGCTTCTGGGTTTATTATAGGAGACAAGGGTGTAAGGAATGGAAAGGTCGGAGTAAAACTACAGGACATGATGGGAAGACTCAAATAAAACAAAATGGAAATTGGACTGTAAATCATATTCCTCACAATTAATAGTATTGCAATAAGAAATTTCAAACTGAGAAAGTGGGAGGTGGTGATAATGAAGCACATTGGACATCAAGTGCCCATGGATTCTGAGAGTTACAGATGGATCTGATAGTTCAAGGGGTAAATGTTGATGCTTTTTCTGATCATGATGAACAAGAAAAAGCAATCTCATCTTGGGCCTGTCTGCCTAAAGTAGGTTCCCAAGTATTATACCGGCCAGAACAATCAGATAACTGAACAATGGCCACTTAGTGGGATGAGCAAAGTCATTTGTGGTCAAGTATGAGAACTGACTATATATCCAGGAGGAAAAACAAGAGGTCAGAGCCATTGATTAGCTGAAGTCAGTTCAAGATGGAGAACAAGAAAGTACAGCTCAAATTCAAGTAATAATTCAAGACATATAACTTGGTTATGCAAAAGATCACAAAGTAGAAAGCATGGTTAGTAAGCAGTCTGAAAGGAGTAATCTAGAAACAACTATACAAGGAAGAGGTAACAGGCAAATAAGAGGACAGAGTCACAAGGGAAGTGCCAAACCTCCTTAGAAACAGGTCAGAAGCAGAAGTCCCCTTCATCAAGGGGTGTTTTTAGCCATCAATATATTAGAACATAAAATAGTAATAGTTAGAAAATTGGGAAGAATATGTGTATATTCAGAGTTTACAGATAATGGCCAACCTGTTTTTTGACAAAGATGGAACTGTACAGAAATTTTTTTTTTAAACAGATGTCAAGGCTGGGTTGGGTTCCAGAGATTTTACGGAATGTTTAAGCAATAGGGAGATCAGAATAGACTCATCTGCAGCTGAAAAAGTGATGTTGAATTTTTTTTTTGACTATTTTAGCTACTGATTCACGGAGGTGCAAGTCCATAGTTGTAAAAGCAACTTTTCTGCAAGGAACCAGCTTCAGAAAGAAGTGTTTCTGCTTCTGAAGGAAAGAAGCATTTGACATAGAAGGGAAAATCTGGAAGTTTAACAAAATGCATTTATAGTTTGAATGATGTTTCCCCAGTGTAGTAATTTATGATGAGGCCTGAAATTAGGCTAACACAACTCAAAGCAGATCCTGCAGAATTTTCATGGCAATACGGTGAAGAACTTTCAGGCATTTGTTGAGTCACATGGATGATCTCTATGGGTGGCACTAATGAGTTCGAAAAAATGCTCTAGATTAAATTTGGAAGAAATTTTTAAAAAATTCATTCACAGGACGAGGATGTCGTTGGGCAAGCCAGCGTTTATTGCCCATCTCTAATTGCCCAGAGGGCAGTTAAGAGTCAACCACATTGCTGTGAGCCTAAAATCACATGAAGGCCAGATTGTGTAAGGATGGCAGTTCCCTTCCCTAAAGGATATTGGTGAACCACATGGGTTTTTCCAGAATTTTTTTGTGTATTGAATTCAAATTCCATCATCAACAAAACTGTCAATCAAGCTTCTGCCACTTTAAAATTGCAGATAAAGCAGGCCAAAGTCAGAAGTAATTCTACATCAACAATCTTACTTGGAGCATGTCAATCCCATATTTGGCTGTGCCAAAACATTCAGCTGCCTCTAAAGATGGAATGTAGCAGCTGTGGAATCTTGTAGGACAGCTCAATTAGTTAGGCACACAGACAAGGCTGGGTGCAAGATTTGATGTGTTAGAACTTCATTTTGTGGTGAGAAATCTGAAGGTTGAGGATGTCTCAAAGGTGAAATATCGAGAAGTTTATACTAAAATTCTCTACTTTGTGTGATCACCTAAAACTAAAACTAATTTTTTTTTGCAATACCTCCTATGTCAACCTTAGTGCATGGCCTACCAGTGCAGGTGGGTTCACAATATTTTTCAAAGCAGAGCATCCCAGCTTTTGAAGTGGAAGGGCTGGCTTCAAGTCCCATCTGAGTATTTCTAACACTTTCGCTTTTAATCATAGCTATTCATTTATCAGATATTCCTGCTATTGGTAAGACTTTATAGGTTATAAATCTCTTTTGCAGACTATTTTACAGACCTTAATGAAATATTTTAGTTTAAAACCTGTTCTGAATCTCTCTGTGTTAAATGTTAGGTCAAAAATATTCTTGTTTATGTGCCAAAGCAAAAGATAAAATCCATAAAAAAATTAAATCCACTATTTCTAATATTTTCAATACAATACACCTGGAATACACAACAGGTGAAATATACTATTGCATTGTCACTTGTTCGTTGACAAATAACTAAAGACACAAATTTTGACAAAAGATAGCCTTAATAATGAAAATATTCATTTCTTTCTCCTGTAATTAGCATTCATCTGAATTTTGTGAAACTGAAATATGCTGCGGTAGAGTACAGAATATTGCTATGAGAGAATATCATGTTTTTTTTCTTTTGTTAAATTGAGAATTCAAATACATAGCTGCTCTCATGTTACACATTTCTGATATTGGAACACAAAACAACTTATTTTCTGCATAGAAATAAATAAATTTTAATCGTGCAGTGGAAATTAGTATACTGTATGTCATTATAATTAACAGATTAAGCAAAATAAGGATAATGTTAGATGACCTTTAACTGTTGGCGAATTCGGTCAATGAAGAAATGCCAGCAATTCTCTCTGGTGTCCAATAATCCAAGACCTCGTAGTTCCATTCTCATGGTAGATATAATACTGTCCACTTCTTCATCATTGAACAAATCTGGAATATCTCCTGAAACACAACAGTGCATTTGTGTTGAAAATTTCAAAGCAATATTTTCCTTAGTTTTCCATATAAACATAGATTCAAACTACAGGCATTCAAATATATGCAAACCCAGTAATATTGTCATTCCATAGAGAAGAAAAATAAACCATTAATTAAACAGAAAATCTGTCCATGGAATTTATGCAAAAAGAGCTGCATTCTGATTTGAACAGAAAATCTGTGTGGTAGTGGGCAAAACTACAGGTTAGTTAACTTGAATGTGTTGACTGAATGAAGACATACTGTATAGGATATAACTCTAAAATTATTTTATATACTATTTTAGATACATTATACATAGTAAGTGTATAACTATTACATGAAGCTAGTGTCATGACTACATTAGCATGTGAAACATGAACTGAAATTTTTACGGCTTGTTTAGCTCCCTTTTTAGGTTATGCAATTTAACCTAAATTGTTCCAATTTAAAAACAAACAACAACAAAGCTTTGTTCTTAATCAAGATCAAAAGTTAGTTTATTGCACAACTATAGTTGAAAATTACCAAGTAAAAAGTTAGCTGAAAATACAAAAATTAGGAGTAGGACTAGTTAAGAAGATACACAAAGATGAGAGTAAGATCAGACTGTTATTGCTGCAGATCTGTTACTTGCTTGAAGATTAGCCTGAGGCGAAGGGGCTGAAAACTTGAAGCTAGAATTCAGCATGCATGATAGTTATGTAGTTGAATAGTAGGACGTGATCTCAGTAAGCAGAGCAGGATTTGGGAAGTAGAGTGAACATTTCTTTCTCTTTACTAGTTCTCTGGCTGTGGCACTTGCAGATTGCCTGCACTCTTTCAACAGAACTGAAGTTGATTTCTGCAAAACTTTCTTTTTGTTCTCCCTTTGGTTGAAATGCCCCTCCTCTGGTGTCTGGAGTGTTTTCCTGGAGTTCTGCTTTAAAAAGTGTTTCACATCTGTCATATTCAGATCAAAAGCTTAAGATGGTTGCTACACTATGACGAATCACTGCTTCACAAAGCAAAGTAAATTGTGCTGAAATTTTTGTGGCGCCCTTTAATTCTTACACTTCTAGAGTCTGGCGCAAAGGTTAATGAAATCCTAAATGTTTCCTTTTATGATTGCTGTCAAGATGTACACACCCTACTGTGTGCATTTTGACTAACATTGAATCAAAAAGGAGCAATTATGAGACATCTTGGAATCACCTTTTTTTAATAGGAGATCCTCATTTCAGAAAGTCAGATTAGACTTCTTTATAAAGTATGCATTATGATTACACAGTCCACAAGGTTATAAGAAATAGGAACAGCACCAGGTTGTTTGGCCCCTCAAGCCTACTTGGTCATTCAGTAGGATCATGACTGATCTGACATTCCTTCTGTGCGCTTTCCTGCCCTCTCCCTATAGCCCTCGATTCCCCTACTGATCAAAAATCTATCTCAGGCTTAAATATACATGAGGATTCCGCCCCCATAGCTCTCTGTGGCAAAAAGAGTTACAAAGATTCACAAGTCCGAGAGAAGAAATTCCTCATCTCAGTCTTAAATTAATGCCCCATTATTCAAAGATGATGTCCTCTGGTCCTAGACTCTCCCATGAGGGTAAACATCCTCTCAGCATGCACCCTGTCAAGCCCCTTAAGAATCCTATTATGTTTCAATAAGATCAGCTTGCATGCTTTTAAATTCCAGTGCATAGAGTCCCAACCTGTTTAACATTTGCTCGTAAGATAATCCCTCCATACCAAGGATCATCCTTCTCTGAACTGCCTCCAATGAAATTATATCTTCCCTAAAATAAGGGGGCCAAAAATGCTCATAGTACTCCAGATGTGGCCTCACCAGCACCTTATACAGTTACAGTAAGACTTCCCTATTTTTATACACCAAACCGTTGAAATAAGGGCCAACATTCCATCAGCCTTCCTGTGTGTTAGTTTTATGCACAAGTACCCCCAAAGCCCTTTGTGATGCAGCTTCCTGCGCAATTTATTCTCCATTTAAGTAATGTTCTGTTCTTTTGTTCTCTCTTCCAAAATGAACAACTTCACATTTTCCCACATTATACTCCATTTGCCGGCTGTTTGCCCACTTACTGAAGCTATCAACATCTCTCTGCAAGTTGTTTGTATCCCTCCATAACCTGCCTTTTCACCTATTTTTGACCCATCTGCAAATGTGGCTACAATACATTCAGTACTGTAGTACCCAACTTCAGCATAGTACTTCCTTCCTCAAGTCATTAATATGTATTCTAAACTGTGGTCTCAGCACCAATCCCTGTGGAAGCACATTGGTCACAGGTTGCCAATCTGAGAAAAAATCCTTATCCCTACCTGTTAAACTTGCCCATGAACCAATCCTTATCCACTCCAATATACTACCACAAACATCGCTGGCTCTTATGTTATGATTCAAACACAACACATCTATTTGTTTCTTTATATCCAGTCTAATTGAGACTTCCGCAAAGAACTCCAGTAAGTTTAGTCCTTTCATAAAGCCATGCTGACTCTGCTTGATTCGGACACTAATAATCTTAGAATTAAAAATGAAAGTTGGAACAATGGCAGAACATTGACTTCTGGCTTACCTCAAAAGGCCTTAGAATGGATACATGGTAAGGTTCACAGTTTGCATATCATTATGAAGCTGCCAAATGACAATGGCAAAAACTGGAGGACATCCATACTTCAGCATAATCCCCCAGAGTACCACACAATTTAAGAATTAAGGGCTTTTAAGGAATTAAAGAATTAAGAATTAAATTAAAAAATTTAAGATTAAATTGAATCAAAAATGCTATGTAAAGAGATTAATGCTGTTTGCAACTTTTTTTTGCAGTTGGAGAGCTTTGAAAATCATGTCAGGCATTCCACTTGAAGACGTGAAACCACATTAAATTCATGGTTAAGTCCTCAGCAAGTGTAATGAGTCAGTTCAGAAGGTTCCTTGTACTGATGTTTTCTGCCAATGGAAAGCAAGGTAATGTCTCTGTTTCCACAGTTGAATGTGTCCCCTTTCGTCAAGACTGTCACAATCATGGCATCCTTAAGATCATTCAGGAATTTCTCTTCATTCTGGATCTGTGGATCAAGGCCATGGAGTTTTAATACTACCTCCTTTTCTCCGTGCTCAAATGTTTTAGCGAGGATCAAATGACTGTTGTTTTTCATGTATTTAATGGTTTTTATTGTCTCCATATGCTGGACTCCAATACGATCTCTAACTGAGCATTGTGCAATGGAGTTGAAAACAGACTCAAACAAGAATAGATTCTTTATTGGAAAGGTATTTAAAATGCTCCCCCAGTGGGCACTGACAGTTTCCTTTCCTTGATCAGATCACTCCCATTCTCGGTCCTCAAAGGAGTTTGTCCTTGTGTAGTCGGCCACAAGTAATTTTTGTGGCAGTGAAGGAACCAGGAAATCATTCATGTCAGTAAATTTCGAATTTTCTTTGCCTTGTTTTTCCCCCACCTTTTCTTCATGTAGTTGATGCTCCTTTACCTCTGCCTTTGCCTGTTGGCAAGCCAGCTCCTTTGGTTTGTGTTTCACATCAATACCCTGTACAACTGTAATTGAATTTTCTGACTCTTATATTCCAATTCCTTTACAATAAACAACATTCCATTCACCTTCCTAATCATGAGTTATACCTGCATGATAACTTTTTGTGATTCATGTACTAGGACATCCAGATCCCTCTGCACTAGTGTTCTGAAATCTCTCCTCATTTAAATATGTGCCATGTCTTATGGACACTAGGTCAGTATAACTTTAAGAGGCATGTATTATATTATCATACCCTTGAGGGAATAAAGGACTCAAATTCAATCTTACCTCAGATCAGTTGAAGCATGACACTTTCCTGAAAACATACTACAATAAATGTCTGAGACAACAAGGTGCAGGGCTGGATGAACACAGCAGGCCAAGCAGCATCATAGGAGCAGAGAGGCTGACGTTTCGGGCCTAGACCCTTCATCAGAAAAGGGGGAGGGGAAGGGGGTTTTGAAATAAATAGGGAGAGAGTGGGAGGCGGA